CAACTTCAGTAAACTCACAAAAAATATAGTATCAAAAGGTTATCGACCAAACTATTATTAAATAACTTTGGAATTGAGTCTATTTTTAAGAAATTAAAAAATTAGCAGCGACTTTTTGCGACTTGAAGAGAAATTTTTATTTGAAGTTTGCGCTACCTGGATTATAGCCAATTTTCAATTTTTTGTTTTCCCAAGTGGTAATTAATCAAAAGTCTACATCAGACTTTGTGTTCAATAATCAATTTAAAATGATATTTTATTATTGATAATTGACAGTTAATTAGGTAATTATTTGCACATATGCTATAATCCTATGCTTATAATAAAATTCCATGCTTGAAATTAACATAATTAAAAAAAAAAATTAAAAAGTTAAAAGAATAAAAAGTTATATATTATACTAAAATTAAAAACAACTTAAGATATTATTAGCTGTTTCAGATATTCAACAAAAGAAGAAAATATAAACAATGCTTTACTTTTCATAACTTCTAGAGTTTGTATGAGTGGTGGTAAAAAAGAAAACTTGGTACAAAAGTTAAACGGAGTTGAATCGAATTACCAAAGATTTTGGAGAGCTTCATTAAGAAACACAGTTTTTTTACTTCTTTTCACTTATATCATCAAAAAGATTTTGGTGATACGAGTAAGAGAAGTAAACGTCGGATAATTGCAAGAGAGCAAACAAATTCAAATTTTGATTCAATTGAAAAATCATCACTTATAGCCCGTAAAAAACCATATAATCAAAAAGATTTTTCTTTATTCAATGTATTAACACATGTTGTCAAAAATCATAAAGATTCACATCATATGTTTGTTCAGTTGACAAATAACAACGATAAAATGACTGCTGAAGAAGCAGCTGCATTAATAAATGACGTAGATCTTAGCGTATCTGACTATTAACGAATCCAAAAGGCATCTAAAATAAGATATCCATCTTATTCAACAGTTGAAAAAGCAATTAAGTTGTGTGGTCCACAGGATAATCACTTGGATGTCAGTGATTTAAGAGTCAAAGTAGATTTACTAGCACTTATGAATCATACCGCTAAAAGAATTGTAAAAATGAGGCAAAAAGAAATAATGGATTACTTAGATATCAGTAATAAACCAAGTGAAAATATGTTGCTTTTAAACAGTTGGGGTATGAATGGATCTACTGGGCAGGCTTGGCTGTAAAGCCAAGCGTTTTCCGATTCTCTTGACATTCAAAATTCAAACATGTGTGCAGTTGTAACAACACCTTTGAGGCTTAGTGTATCAAATTCAAAAAAAATAACTTTTTATGGATCAACTTAATGCTCTTAGTGTAAGTTTTTGTAGGCCAATTGAACTTCATTTCATCAAAGAAACTGCCGTTGTTGTTTTAGGAAAAAAACGTCAAATAGAAAATGAAGTTTTGGATTTGCATTCAGTGAATATTGAATTGGTTAATGGAAAGTTTTTTATTATTGATTTCAATTTATTTTGTGCACGATTGATGGAAAAGTTTTGAAAATTATAAAAAACACATCATCAACGCAGTGCTGTTGTATTTGCGGAGCTACACCAACTGCAATGACTAAGTGGATTTACAGCTAAAAAAAAAGGTACACTTATCTATGAGATATCTCCGTTACATGCTTGGATAAGATTTCTAGAGTGTCTTTTACATACTTCATACCGACTCGAATTCAAAAAATGGAGAGTAACCAAATTTACGATAACAAGTTTACGATAACAAAAAGAAATTTATCCAGCAATTAATGTTCAAAAGGAAACATCTCCGAGTTGATTTTCCCGCATTTAATGGAGCATGAACATCTACCAAAGGAAATTTTTTCAGAAAAGCGTTTTTTGACCTAAAAGAACTAAGCAAAATATTAGGGATTGATAAGACAATTAATAAAATATTCAAAAATATCTTAATTGCAATAAGTTGTCAGCAAACATTGAATCCAGAGTTATTTAAGCTATTCTGTAAAACAGTATACCGTCGATATTTAGATCGGTATGATTGGTATAAAATGCTTTCAACAATTCACAAAGTTCTTGCACATAGAGCTGAAATAATGATAAACTTGCCAGTTCTTGCCAAAAATAATTATAAACTTGTCAGGGAGTTTTAGCCGGAGAAGCAGCTGAATGCCGAAACAAATATTACAGACGACATCATAAACTACATGCTCGTAAATGTTCAAGACAAGCCAATTTTAAAGACGTCTTTAACCGTGCAATGAGATCATCCAACCCTCTTATTAGTTCTATCTCCTTAGAATCTAGGCGGACAAAGAAAGTTGTGCTCAAACTTCCAGAAAAAGTGAAGAGTTTTTTAATTTTAGTGGACAATAAGAAATCAATAAAACTGGCAGAACTAGAATCCTCAGACTTAGAATTATCGGAACCAACAGAAATTATTAATATAGAAGATGAAATTATGAACGATTTAGAAGCTACTAATGAAGATTATTTGAAAGATAAAAACATTGACGTGTGAAATAAATATAGCAATATTAAAAGTAAAAATAGTGAAAAATTATTACTTCGAAAAAAGTTTTTTAAATATTCTCTTTTTAAAAATTAAAACAAGCTTGTAACATTTTTTTAGAAGTACTGGTATTTATGGTATTTATCTTAGGTATTTATGGCCTACTACAGAGTTTACTAATTAGGTCTGTGAAGGTAATGAGTTATCTTTACAAGTTACCTGCTCCAACTAAACAATGAAATTAATAATAAATAATATAATCTGCGGCGCGGCTAGTTTTTCGGAATTGTCCCTAAAAAATCAGTGATTAGGGCCCAACAAGTCTTAAAAATTTTTCCTTTATTAAGTTTAAAAAAAAAAAAAAAAATTCAAAATTTTTACTTTTACAAAAAACTCTTAAAATTGGATCAAAACGCAGCACCGTCCAGCTGTTGGAACTAAATAACTTAATAAATTGTTTAAATGACATAAAGGTAAAAAAATTAAATAAAATTCATTACTTTCTTAAAAACTTTTTTTGGCCACCTATTTGTATAAAATTATGACATAGTGAGTTCCTTTGTGGAAAATACCCATTTGGGGTGCGGAGCCCCAAAATAGAATTCCAGATTTAAAAGTCACAAAAAGATTACTTCTTAACTGTTTTTGGTATCCAGGAGCTTTAAAAATATAAAAAATCAAGACTTTTAAGTAAGAGGAGTAGTCAATTTATGAAACCAGAATCTTTTGGTAAAACGGCGGCAAGAACTTCGGGACCCCGGCTCAAAAATAATAAGTTCCAAGTCATTAAGTCTAATGTATTTTTTCTTATACTAGATCATAAGTCAACCAACTTGTTTAACTCTTTGGATGCTAGAGACCAAGAAAAAATAGAGGTATAAAATCCTTTTGGAACTCCGTGTCCCTGAGAATAAGTAATTTTAAGAAAGGATACCATTATTTGTACGCGCGTAGAATATTGAGCTCATAATAAAAACCTTAATTGTACATAAAACTGTTTAAATACTTTAATTTAATACAAGAATAATAAAATAGCGTTGATGTAATTTCTTGAGTGATATCTTGATGTAATATCTTGAAATATTCTTTTATATTATACTGAATAATATCTTTTCATCTTTAAAGGTAATGCAAAGATTTGAAATTTTTAATAAAAATGTTGTTTTTTTAAACTTTATGTTAATTTTTTCTTTAGTAGATAAGATTTTTGAATTTGTAAAACAGATAGTTAAAGATAGATAACCACTGTGTTTATTTTATCAACTATTTTTAACTTATGAGTAAAGTTATTTCAAAAATTTCAAGATACAAGTAGCGCTAGTATATGGTCAAAACATGTAGTCAAAATGTTAATTGTAGAATTTTGTCTCCTAGTCAATAGAAATTGGTTTCTTATTACATATTCAATAAAGGTTGTTCAGTTTTATTGAGGAATTTACAATTTTGCAAAAAGGATTTTGCAAAAAATTTATTGCATCTTAAATTCATAAAGATTTTATGCAACTAAATACAAAATCTACGCTTAGTGATGGTCTCAGCAACGGTAAACATTGTTTACTATGGCATTTACCCAAAAAAACTCAATAAGATTCCAAATAACAACTGAAAAAATATTTTTAATGGTTAAAGGTCATTAACTGAAGTAACATAAATTTTTGTAGCTTTTTGTTGCAACTTTTATCATGCTGTTTATTGTTGATATTATCAACTTTTTTAAATTTTATTTCAAGTATTATAAATAATATATGCTTCAAGAAATAACATAAAATTATCTAATAAATAACGTTTTGTACAATAAAAGAGAAATTTTTTTTTACAAATTGTTATACAATTGAATGACAGCAGTAAAGCGGTCCAGTTATTATTCCCGATTTAAGTTGTGCAAGTGCCGCAAAATTAATATCGCTGATTAATAGAAATCAAGTAGTAAATAAAACTGAATACAAGAATTACTATATACTCATTGATTTTTCAATTTTGTTTAATATTGTTGAAAATGGTAGATGTCCAGATTGTTACAGACTTGTCACTAGAGTTTTTGATTTATTTAGGTGCAAATGTTTTGCCCATCATCTTGAAACCAAGTGTAGTATATATGAATGGAAAAAAGGTTTATATTATTTAAACCAGAATAGTAAATTGGAAGGAAAAAAGACCCAGGATAAGATAAACTTTGAAGAAGTTTGATAACTGACTTCAGAAAAATAAAACGAGGGTATCAAGCTATGATACCCTATATAAACACTTTAGTCGTTGTTTGAATTTACATAGTTTGACAGCTACTTCATTAAAAAATTAGATATAGTAATATCAAAAGTTTATGATAAAGCTACGAAAGAAATTATGAAGCGTGCCAAAACTAAAATGAAAGACAACAATGACGTTAATGACAATAAACCAATAATGAAACATGTTAAAATTAATCGTACATGGAAATGTACACGGTGGGTGATAATTCAATTGATTATAAAGAAACGTCAAAGTTTTGCATAGGCTGTAGAATTTGAAAAAAATAAAAAAATTTCACCTTGATACAATGCTTGGAAAGCTCAACATGTAATGACGGTTGAGCTTTCCAATAATGACATTTTTGACTGATACAAGCTTTAAGATAAGGCATTTTTAAAAAACCATGCGTAAAACCTAAAAAAAAAAAGAGTTTTGAGAAACTATTACTTTCAACCAAAATTTTGGATACCTTAATAATTAAAAATTAATAATTAAAAATTTTTAAATTGTAAATTAATATAAAGATATATTATTACTTTTTAGAATTAGGAGTACCCATTTGAATTTGTTTTGTTATATTTCTTTACATGCAAACTATATAGTTTTTAATTGCATTTTTATGTATAGCGCATTACGTTTGTATTTTTTACTTGCTATACCCTCATCAATATTAAACAATGGGTTATTTTCGTATATTTTGTGAGCCTATCATTAAAGACTGGTAGTGATCTTTTTAAACATTTTTGTTATCGTAATGGTATTTCTTCAATACAAAATTTTAAAACTTCTTGCAGACAAGATGGTTGTTGTAGAACTTACAGCAGTGTCTATGTACTTAAATTTCTTTTACGCAGGAAGCACCGAAGTAACCTTTATTCGGAATATTAAAGTATAAATGTTTCTCCTGTGGCAAACAAAGGTAAGCTTATGTCTCAGTATGGTATTTATAGAGCAGCAATAATAACAAAGCTTTGACAAAAATAACAGTGAAAATGTTCGTTCAAGTCGCATTAAATGGGTAAAAAATAAAATAAATAGTTTTTGATTTTTAATGACTCTCAGATGTAAAAAAACAATTAAAGCTATAATTTACTATGGAGGATTCCATAGTGAGTATTCAAAATATTTTTTTCAAATTATTTTAAGCACAGTAATTTAAAGTGTATAAAAAACAATGCACAATGATGAATAAAATGCTGGCAGCGTAAACGATGTCCTTTAGGATATTAAATATGATTTTTTGCGGCTAACCACTATTATATTAATATTTTTGAATTACTAATTTAATTATTTATAGTTATACATACTATACTAATACTAATTTTAATATTTGAGCATTACCTTTTATTATATATCCTATTACTACATTATGTTTATGTACGACTAATTTTGTTTTTACATATTTGGAAAACTAAGTAGAAACTTCAGTTTTGTTTTTTATATGAAATATTTTGTCATTAACAACTCTTTAAAGGAAAGTAACCCCAAAACAAAAATTCATAGATCATGAAAGTGATTTAAAACAGTATGGTATGTACATATTATACTTAAGAATAATGGGGTATTAAAACAGTAACCTGTTGCCTCATAACCAAAGTATAGTTAAAATAACTAAGAAAGTCCGACTAATTTATTCAAAAAAAAAAAAAGGCACATCAAGGAAAAAAAGATCCTCATGAGTTGTGGTTTGGAACAGGTAGGTTTAATAATTTAAACCTACCTGTTCCAAAACACAATTCTATCAAGTATGGAAATAATTCCATTAAATACCTAAGTATAAGCGCATGGAACAATCTCCCCCCTGATTTAAAATTTCTAAACTCAATTTCTGACTTCAAGGTCAAGCCATTCAATCACTTGTTAATAAAATACAAATAAATATCTCTGCAGTCAAACTCCAAACTCCCTATAATATTTATAAATTAGTAATCCTCTGGCTTTTCATTCTCCTATCCTCAATAACTCTAAATTCTCTATATATTTATCAAATTCTACCTACCTAGTCTTTTCTTATCCTTAATTCCTTGGTTATTTATTCTGCTTTTTCTTTTATATATTTATTTTTTTCATTTTGCTATTTTAATGTTAGTATATTATCATTGTTATTGACGAGGATTTTCTTGAATCTTTACTTATCGTCATAATCAATTTATTTTCTTTCATTTGTTTCTATTTATCTTAACTTCATTGTTAATATTATCACTGTTATTGACGAGGATTTTCTTGAATCTTGATTTCTTTAATTAATATTATCTTCTTTATTAAAGATTTTATATTATGATTATTATTCTTCTCATTATTATTTTGTTTTCAGATGATAGTAATATTAACTTTTCAATTATTTTTATTTTACTTTCTATTTTACTATTAGTACTTATTATTGCTATATATATATATATATATATATATATATATATATATATATATATATATATATATATATATATATATATATATATATATATATATTGATTTAATGTTTATTATTGTTTTAATTGTGAGTAGTATTTACACTATTAATATAATATTATTATTACCATTAATATATTTCTAAATGTCTATATTGATATTTTGTATTAGGTATTTGCTTTATATTAGTACTCGTACTATTGTAAATATCCTTGAAATGTTAAAAATTTGTTTCAGAATATATTTGATTTGATTTGATTTGATTTGATTGATGACAGTGATGCTTAATTATATTACCACAAAATACTCTTTTCTTTTCAGTTCTGGTTCTTTTTCTTTGCTTGACCCTATATTTTCTACGCATAATTAAGAATAATAATTAATAGTAATTATAATAAATATTCTTATTATAGTTTATAAACCATTAACAAACAATATAGTTATTTGCTTTCTAAGGCTGTAAAAAGGTGTAAGAGGTAGAGACAATTAAGTGAAATTTAATGTAACTAAAGTAAATAATTAAAATAAAATCAAAATAGATAGAGACTGCTTTATAAGTAGGTTTGTTATTTTTTGTGACAATAAGAAATAAGAAGAAAAGCAATTGCTTTATTGTTGCTATATGCGTTGCCAGAGTAAAACGCACTCTATCAGCTTTAAGTCATACTTGTTTTAGGAGCGGTAATAAAACTGAAGATTTTAGCGTTGTATGAGTACACTTAACAAACTCTTCTATTTATAACATCATAAATCTATTATTTATAGTAAAAGACAGAAAATAGCGTGTGTCAAACACCTAACTTTGTAATATGTCACAAGTAATAATGAAGACTACGTTGCGTTATGTTAGAATTTAAAAGTTTTATTAAATTTATAGAATTTTCGATCTCGTTCAACTTGTATTTTTGTAGCAGCCTTTTCTATAAAGTTTTATTTTAAGTAAAAAAATTCGATATGTTTATCTTAATTATTTGCGAAGTTTATTGATGGAGACAGAGCAAAGGTTTTTGTTTAGTATGTTAGCAAGACACTCTTTTGGACTTTTTGGACAGTTTTTTTCATTGTACTTGTGATTAAAAATTAGAGATATTCTTTTTCTGATAACATCAAAAAATAACATTAAATTTGAAAACGTAATTTTATACTATTGTAATTTTTTCATTTTATATTAAATTACCTAGGTTACCTGACACATTTATGTAAAAAAACAAAACAAAACAAAAAAAAAAAACACAAGAAAATAATAATAATGAAAACAAACAAAATGATTCCAAAAATCGAATCCTTTATTTATTGTCACCGTGCGTGTATTATGGAATCTTAGTAATAGAATGGTTTTTTATTAATAAAATATAATTGAAATCTTTACGTTATTTTAAACTTGCTAATGCAAATGTTACAAATTTATTTTTTTAAAAACCATTTTCAAAAGCCAAAAAATAATTTTGCCTAATTACTTATTAGCATTCAGGTGGTTTTATTAACAAGATTTTTTTTTCTAAAGAAAACATTCATGCTGCGAACTTACCGAAGAATTCCGAGAATTTATAGAGAAATTTTGCAAAAACTCAAAGCATGGAAAAATTGACCACCAAGGTAATTTTAAATTGTTTGAACATAATTTAAACTGTATTTATAATGCATTATACTGTATTAATCAAAATAATTTTTGATATTACGCATTTATCAATAATAAGATTAAATTATCCTCCATTAATTAAACACTGGCACAATTTTGTTGGTGTTTGTAACAAGATGTTGGGTATGATTATTTTTTGATGCATGTAATTTTAATTGCTCTCAATATGCTTACCTGTTACTAACAAAAACAAAAATATTTCTTAGTGTATCAACAAATAGTTTTTAAGTATGTACTTTTTATTTGATCTAATTTTTCCTTATTTAAACGTTGTCTTGAAAGTCAAAAAACGTTAACGTGTCAGAAAAAAAACACATCTTACTTTGCTCTGTTGACAATTGTGCATTTGCAAAGATTTTTATTGAGAAGAAGAAAAGCAATCGTCAAATTATAATTATTTTTTTAATTATAATTTGACGAATTACTTTCCACTTGTTTCTCTTTTTTCTTTTTTTCAATATATGCGTCAGTTTAAGCTGATTGCATTATTAATTAAACCTGTCATTTCGAAAAGGACACAAGTCCAAAACTTTTAACAGTTAGTTTATGAATTTATATTAAAAATTTCTGTATGATTTATGTTTTTTTTTTATAAAAAGTAAAAGTTACATAAGTTATATACGTTCTTTATTTATCTACTTCTATGTTTTGTTTCTTTACCAGCGTTGACATTTTAATAAAAATCATGTTTTTGTTGATTTTGAAAAGTTTTAATAAATAGTCTTGTGCCCTTTTCGAAATGACAGGTTCAATTAAGTAAAACGTTTGTAAAACAGCAAATTGCAACGTCATTTGAAGGTGAGAAAGTTTTTTTCCATTCTTATTTACAACTTGAACTTTTTGATTCGACTTTTGTTGACTATCTAAAATATTAAAAAATACTTATGCACAGTTTATTAAACGTATTATTAAAGGTATCGTTTAAAAACACTAATGTAAATTCTTTTAAAGGCATGTTTAAAGATATTATTATTAAAGATATCATTATTAAAGGAATCATTATTAAAGATCTCATGATTAAAAATATCATTATTATACCAAAATTAGAAATATTATCAAAAATCTTGAAAGTTGAATCAAACTTGTAAAATTTTTTTGCTGCCCAAAACAAGTAATTGTTAAAAAATCTAAATCTATTTATTTTATATCTTTGTCTTTGAAATTTTTAATATAGAATTAACATTTTATATCTGAGCACTTAAAATAATTTTCAGCACAGATTTTCTCAAAAAACAAGAAGAAAAAAAGCACAACCATCAAAATATTTT